AGATGCGGAAACTGGCTATGCTTACAGGAATCACCTGGTGGGAATGTTTTCTGTGGAGTTTATAATCATTAAATCTTCAAATTCAGCTCTGAAAAATGTAAATGACTATTTTATACTTTTTATCAGGTTTGGAGTGGCGTTTACTTACTACGGCATCAGTTTTAACATCAGCGGCTTTGGGCTGAACCTCTACCTGACTCAGTTTATTTACGGTGCCATAGAGCTGCCATCAAAACTGGTTGCATATGTGTGCCTTGATAAACTGGGCCGGAGATACAGTCAGGTGGGAACGATGATTACAACAGGGGTCTGCATTGGCATCACTGTCCTCATTCCCAGAGGTAAAGGATAACAAACAACTATTAGGGGCTTTCACATTGTAAGAATGTTTTCTCAGTTCCTAGAACTATTGGACAAAGTACCCACAGGAACTGGGTATGATTTTAGTTGTAACATCATTTGGGGGAACTAAATTAGCTCCTGCTTCAGAACAGGGTCTAATCCAGATCAATAGGAGATACTTTGCAAGTACACCATACAAAATACCTGTGTATACCAAGTTTGCAACATTTACACGTGGCCTTCGTTTTGCTTGAGTTATTTTTCAGCACTGATGATTTGTCAACGGATGTTTCAGTTGCATAACTTGGGGATAGTTCATCTAAAAATGTTAAATGACAGTTATTGCCTTACCCTCAGACCATTGAATAAGTAAGTGACTGTAGAAGGTTGTCAGCTGAATATGTGGTCCTTTGTAACTTATAAAATGCAAGTCAATGGTCATCCGCTTTTGAGATCAAACACAAATAGTGCAGAAATTAAATATTGTTTGCAATATTATTAGCTTTAATCAATTATATGCACAAGCTTCCAGTCACTTAGGTGTGAAGTGACAAGAGAACAAAGAAGCACATTTTTGTCAAAATGATCCTGACCTGTGTGCGAATATCCAAGATGCTATAATTAAAGATTTTAATAAAATACAAGATGCTATAAAGACTCCATTTAGATTAATGAACTAATATCTAAAGCAACAGAAAGCTTGCACATACATCATGTGACTGAGAGCTTGTCCTCACTACACTTTTGGATTAAAGCTAATAATATTATATATAATGTTGCACCTCTTGCTCAGGCCAATTGTATCACTTCAAAAGAGCTCAGTGTATCATCAGGAGCCAAAAAGATCAATTTGGACATTTTTAATGTCAAAAACAGGTTCAGCTAAAAATCTTGATAAATTTTCTACTGAAGAATAAAATCACCTACATCTTCAGTGGCTTTAGGGTGTGTAAATACAGTAACTGTCTAATTTACACTTTTGAATTAATTATCCCATTGATTCCTTCTCCATTATCACAAAACCCTTGACACACAATGAAGACACAGTCCTCTAGTGGTAGTGATCTTGCATCATTTATAATAATACAACCAGAAAACTTGTCAAGGAGGGAAATTAGTTGTCAGGGAACATGTTTACAGCGTGTTCCTGTAACTATTTGGTGTGAAAGCCCCTAACAAGTTTTGAGAAATGCTATTTCTAACTACAAGATTTTAAAACGCCTATGTGGACTGTCTGTTCTTGCTTTCTCAAGCCAAACACCTGTTTATTCAGTTACAGAAAACCTTTTTTATGATGTTGTGATAATGTGTCATTTCATTGAATTTAATATGTAAATGTTTTGTGTTTACACGTTAGTCATTTATTATAACATCACTGCAATGTGTCTGGCTTTTTAGTTTATTTACATAAATGAACAATAATTAATGGGAATGTCACAGTCCTAACAGACTGAAAAACTCATTCATTGTGATATCACAGGCAGGTGTTCAGCATGTCAATCATATTTGTTCATTTATTAAGGCAAATTCATGTGTCAAGTTAAAGTTAAAGTTTTTTAAATGGCTTCACCCTATCCCAATGTAAAATGCAAATCCAACTATAAGTGGGATATTTATGAATAGATTCTCAATCATTGACTCAGGTTAAACAACCCCTGCTGATTACACATACTTCAAAAATATTTGCAATTCTCACAATTGTCAGTAAATATTTCACATCTTTGAGTTTATTTCTCACAATCACAGACCTTTTCCCTCAGAACAGTAATCTATAAAAACCTAAGGAAAAACTTCCTTTTATTTCATTTCAAAATTTATTATACTTCTATATTATGTCTTAATTGCATTACCTGGTATTTTTCAAAAGTAGTACTTTAGTACGTTTTTTATAGCTTGAGTGATATTAACCTTTTCATAGAACATAAATTTTATTATTTTAAATTTTCTGTCTTTCTCTTTGTTTGTCTCTAGTTTTGTGGGTGCCTTGTACCGTCATCGCTGTACTGGGTAAAGGATTCTCAGAGGCCTCTTTCACATGTGTTTTTCTCTATACCACTGAACTCTACCCGACTGTGTTACGGTCAGTTGTTCATCATTTATATATTTCATTTATATATTGCATATATATTTTACATATATAATATAATAGCAGCTTATGCTTTTATTTACCTTTGAACCAGAATTTGCAAGGGATACTGTATAAATAATTTCGGGTTTACTATAATATTAATGTTTCACTGAGGCTGAATTTATTTAATCAAATATACAGTACAATCTGTTAAATTGTGAAAAATTGTCAATTTTAAATAAGTAATCGAATGTAGATTCAAACTGAATTTATTTTTGCAATTCAAAGCTGAATTTTCATTATCGTTACACTAGTTTTCATTGTGACATGATCCTTCACAAATCATTAAATATGATGATTTGCTATTATTATGATCAGTTATTATTGGTACAATATCTCTAATATTTTTTATTACAATTATTAGTGCTAATTTCTTGTTTCATAGTATTGTGGAAACTCAACTTTCAAAAAACACCTTTTTCAATTTAAAAATGTACTTTTTTGGTTAAAAAAAGTTCAAAATCATATTTATTTGCCATCTTTTTTACATTATAAATGTATTTACTTTCACTCTTGAACAAAACTATTTATAGTGAGGAATAAAAAAAATACATTGAATTATACTTTAGAATGGTACTGTAGCTGTTTCCTAAACCTAAGTCATCAAAATCAACAACAATAAAAATAAGATAATTTTTTTTAAATATTGTAACAACAGTTTTTACTATATTTGTATTTAAGAAATTAATGCATTTGTGTGTAGAATAAGTTGCATTTCAAACAGAATGTTTATGTACATAGTGAAATGAATTTAAAAATGTTGGTTCAGCAAAGGAATATGTATGTACTGTATGTATGTATGTATGTATGAATATGTATATGTACTTGTTTAAATACAGGCAGAATGGATTAGGCTACAGCTCGTTCATTGGTCGTGTGGGTGTGTCTCTCGCTCCTCTCGTGAGTCTCCTGGATGAGGTCTGGCTTCCTCTGCCACAGGTCTTGTTTTGCTCTGTTGCCATTGTTGCAGGCCTCCTTGCACTTTTGCTTCCTGAGACCCACAATGTGCGGCTTCCTGAGACTATTGAGGACATTGAGAAAACTAGGTGAATGATGACTCAATATACTACACTGTAAAAAAATTGCAACAACAAATGATTTTATGTTATGTTTCGTAGCTTTACAAAGTTTAACAAAATATTTTAGTCAGTTTGACTGATTTAAGTTGAGATGACTAGAAAAGTTCGACTGAAAAATGAAGGCAGGAACAAATTTTTTTTCTTACATAGAAATACATTCTATTTTTATTAAACATTTTTTTTATTTGATATTGAATAAATTTTTTTCTTTTTTATATGTTTTTATTATAGGAAAAGATCAGTGTGTTCACAACTGGAATATCAGCCTGGATTGGAAACCTTCAAGGAGACTAAATGAATTTGACTCGAAAAGAAAATGAATCTAATAAAAGATTTTATTCATTATTGTATTGTCTTGGTATTATGTACCTTTGTTAAATCATATATGTATAGCTTTTGTAATATATATATATATATATATATATATATATATATATATATATAAAACAATTTTATTCATTACTATAAGTTTCAAATATATTCAAATATAAATCTATCGTCTGTACATCATACATGTACAGTATTATTTATATGCTGAGATTATTGTTAAAATTTTTGTAATATTTGTTTTCTTTTGAATGCATATTTCAAATAAACATATATGTTTTTTTTCTTTTATAAGTGTACAGTTGAGGATTTAGATGATGTGTTTAGTTTTATTTATGATTTAAAATGAGGGTTAATCCACCAATTATTGCTCTCCTATATAAAGTTAGACCACTGGAATTGTGTTATCTAAAAATGAACATAACAATACCATGTTTATTATTTTGAACAAAACAAAAGACACAAATTCTCCAAGTTTCAACATTTTTGATTTTAAGAGTTCACACTTAGATATGCTTGACATTAGTAGCAAGTTTGGCATGCTGTCCTCGGAAAGAACCCTGAACTCGGAGATAATTAAGCCCAAGGCTCCTGCCTGGTCAATAAGTATATATAAAGGGGGTTCGAGATCAGGTAGGTCTCGAGAGCTCCCCTTAAAAAAGGGAGGAAAAGGAGATGGGATGGAAGGGGGAATTCTTTCAAAATGAAGATGAGGCAGAAGGGTAAAATTATTCTATTTATTGTAAGCTTGGATCAATCTGATTGTATTTTTAACTGAGAAACCAACCATGCTCAATCATATCGCATGCTCCTCTCGAAATTAATTTGTGAAACCACTTAAATTGGTAAGAATTTTCACTAGTATCAATTTGCAGAATGGTTTACTCAAACACAACTATAATCCAGAAAAAAAGAGAATAAGAGATTTTTTTCCCATAGTTTTATAACAACACTGAAAAAAATGATTCATTGAATTTATTATATTTTTAAGGTAAGTGGCTGCAAACAAATTATATGTGCTGAATTTAAACAAACACATTAAATTTAGTAATGTTCAACTTTATTTGTTTGTTTAAATTCAGTACATAATTTTTTTTTCAACCACTTACCTTAAAAATCAAATAAGTCAAAAAAATAAGTTTAGGATGACAAAGCAAGAATTAAATCGTTTGCAAAACTAGCACAATGTAGAGTTTCAACTGAAGAGTTTAATTTTTACAAATGTTCTAAGCATTTTAGACGTCCCCTTGTTAAACATTTTCTTCTCTGAGAGAGTCTTATGACTGTGAGCACCCAGCCAGGTGAGACAAACCCTCAAACAGGTCAAACACCATGAGATTTGAAGATCTGCTCTCGGAGCTCAATGGCTTCGGCAGGTTCCAGAAGATGGTCCTGTGCATCAACTTCTTGGGTCGATTTAGTCTCGGGTGCCACTTCCTATTAGGCAACTTTATCGCCGCCATCCCATCTCATCACTGCAACATCAGCTCTTTGGATGTTGACGGCGTCTTTGAGAATCTATCTCAGGAGGAGAGACTGACTGTTGGTGTTCCAGCACAGGAAGACGGGACTCCTGCTTCCTGTCACATGTTCTCTCATCCTCAGTTTCAGCTGCTGATAAACTCGTCCAGCAGCTCAGATCTTCCAGTAGTGGAGTGTCAGAATGGATGGCACTTTGATAACAGCACCTTCATCAGCACTCTCGCCACACAGGTAAGACTCCTGCTTTTTTATTCCTTCAACTCTTCTGTAAGTGTTCCCCCTTTGTCTCTTATTTTCTGTTTTTGTGGTGTTTTATTGCAGTGGGATTTAGTATGTGACAAAAGAGCATTGGGGAAATTGACAACCACCATCTTCTTCCTTGGGGTGATGTTTGGTGCTGCTGCTTTTGGGAGCCTGAGTGCAATGTTGGTGCAATTGTATTACTTTGGAAGTTTATAAATGATGCAGAAAATATTTATATAATCGTTCAATTGTTCAACAGTAACCAAATTGAGACATACTTTTTTTCAAATTTTTCAAATTTTTCTTTTTTTCATAAAATTTTTTTCAAATTGGGACTTGAACTTTTTGTTCAAATGTAAATAAAAGCTGAGAAATATATATATATTTTTAACAGTGATTCTTCTTGTACATCGTCTTATTATCTATTATCAAAAAGAAACTTGCTGGTTGAATAAAGTAATGTTAAGTCAGAATTTACCAGCGGTATGAATAATTTCAGGATTGACTGTACAGTATGACACCCTCAACCCCTGTCAAAAGAGTCCATTTTTTATGTAAAAATTTTTATATAATCTAAATCAGGAGTGCCCTAACCTTTTTCTATAAAGGACGGAGTTAAACGGTATATATTAAATTTGGCATGGGTAATTTTCTCATTTCTTCTGTAATATTTAAACATAACTAGAAAATGTTTCTTTAAATAATATCAACTAATGCAGTATATGTTATGATATTTTATAGTGATCTTATTATTGTAAAACATAAAACAATCTCATTTAGAACACAAGTTCAATGCTGAATACACTAGTCAAGCTTACTTTGATTTGCTCAAAAATGTATCTGTCACATTTTAAAAGTCTGATTCATTTACAGAATTTATTGAATTAATTAATTTCAGTTGGCTTTTTTGTAGCTCATTAATAAAACAAAGAAGCAAAAGGTTACGGTAAATTCGAAATGATGATTACTATCAAAGGCATTAGGCCCCTCCATATCCCCATCATTCTCATATATAAATATATTATGTTTTGATGTATTTAACATTTAGGACAGTTACAAAATGTCTTCATGAAACATGATCTTTTATTTAATATTCAAATGGTTTTTGGCATAAAAGAGAAGTCAATCATTTTGACTCCTGTGCAATATACTGTATGCTAGAATGTTTTTGCTGTTCTTGCACTAGCAATAGTGTGTTTTTAAATAGTTACTTGTCTATTTCTACACAGGTTTGGACGCAAGCCAATGCTGCTGGTGTCTTATATATTAGGAATGGGTTTTGGATTATGTAGCGTTTTGTCGTCCTCCCTCGTCATGTTTGCAGTGTTGAGATTTTTCTCTGGGTTCACCATCACTGGCAGTGTCATCATCTCCACTGTACTCAGTGAGAACCAGTCTCTTATAAAATATGTTTTTTTATTATGGTTTTCTAGTTGTTCTAAACTTCAGCGACACACAAATACATTTCTGAAAAGAAGACACATCAGAGTGAGGAGTGTGTTTATTTGTTCTTGTTCTTTCTGTGTTTTATCAGATGTGGAGTGGGTGAGCATTGAGCACAGAAAGCTGGTCGGGGTGATTGACAGCCTCGCTTGGACATTTGGCTTCATGGGCTTCCCTGTGATTGCATACTTCATTCGAGACTGGAGATGGCTAACAGTTGCCATCTCATTGCCCAATGTTATATCCATAATCACTTGGTGGTGAGTATAAATAAACCAATACCAAGCAGATCTAAATCAAAAGAGATCCTTTCCACAACTGTGCTTAAAGATGAAAAACAGATGTTGCTCCTTCCAATTTAAAATTATTTTTGGTTTAGTACTGTTATGTCATGTTATGTTATATGTTACTGTATGTTATGTTATATGTTTGGTTATTTTATGTGATGTGATGTGATGTTATGTGTTATGTTAAATGTTAAATGTTATGTTATATGTTATGTTTTAAGTTATGTTATATGTTATGTTATGCTATTTCAGGTGGGTTCCAGAGTCTGCTCGGTGGCTTATAGTTAATGGGAAGGCAGATAAAGCTCATTATTATCTCAAGAAATGTGCTGCCATGAACCACAAAAAGGAAGTTACAGCAAGAATAAAACCTGAGGTGAGAGAATATCTGTGTATTTCCTATAAATAAAAATAAAACATCATAAAACCAAGAAATTTCAATTTTTCCAATAAAGTGCTAAGCAATGCAAATTACTATTTAAAAAAAGGTTTTGATATATTTACAGTAGGAGATGTCTTGAAGGAACATGATCTTTTATAATTCTTATAATTTTTATAATTTTAATTATTCTTAATATTCTAATGATATTTGTCATGAAAGTTAAATTAATAATTTTGAACCCTACAATGTAGTTTTAGCTATTGACAAAAATATACCCAAACATGAGACTTGTTTTGTGGTCCTTGGTCAACTGGAACAATGTTTTTGCTGGCAGTGATTTAGTATACATCCATCAGTGTGAATTGTGATGTGGAATGTATTTTACCTATATTATGGAATGTACCTGTATATGTAAAATAAGTAGCAACATCTATTTTTTTAATTATTGTCAGATTAAAGTTTGCATGTGAAAGTGAAAAAAAAAATGAAAATGAAAACAATTGTAGGGCAGGACATGGTTGTATCCTTCCGTTTGGATGGATGTTAGTTTAAATATGCCAGTATGTGATGGCACTTTATTAAAAAAGCACCCGGAGAAAACCCACGCAAACATGAGGAGAACATGCAAACTCCACACAGAAATGCCAACTGACCCAGCCGAGGCTCGAACCCGCAACTTTCTTGCTGTGAGGTGATTTTGTTACCCACCGCCCCTGCCATGTAGTTGAATGGCCAAAATGCATGTGAATTCAAAAACAGTTTGTTTACTCAATTTTTGTATAGTTTGCTGACATAACATCTTTGTTTTTCATTATCTAGGATTTGTCAAAAATTATAGTTACTGATAGAGGAAGCAGAAAATATTCATACCTGGATCTGGTCAGAACTCCTAAGATGAGGAGACTTTCTTTACTTACAGGAATCACCTGGTAGGTACTGAGCAACAAAAAAAAAAAGTTGAAGAAGAAAATAATTACAAAAAAAAGGATTAAGTAAAGAGTTGGTCAAACTACATATCTTGCTACATTGACTTTCAGTCACATGTATGTGATTGCAAAAATGCAAGCTCATGCTGAGAAGTTTAATGTTTACCTGTTTCCAAGTGAGCTTGTATGAAACTGTGAGACCAGTACAATATCAGTATAGATTAAAAATACATCAATTTGTTCATGTAGAAAATAGAAGATAATTCATTAGGATGTGTGTATCTGTATTGCATTGTGTGTACTGTATATATTTTTTTTATCTTTTGAATTGATGTCCATTATGATTGGTGGTCCAGTGTTTAGATGAATTTCTTTTATTATGCATGTGTTTTTCTCTGCAGGTTTTCTGTTGCCACTGTTGCCTATGGAATTAGTTTCAACATCACAGGCTTTGGACTAAACATGTACCTCACTCAGTTTGTGTACGGAGCCATTGAAATACCTGCTAAATTTTGCATCTATTACTTGCTGGATAAATTTGGAAGGCACGTGACTCAGGCTGGATCACTACTCTTTGTTGGAATTAGCTTCATAATTAACATATTCATACCTAAAGGTAAGAGAGACTTGGATTTGAAATGGCAATGAAATAATTCTGGAGAAAATAATGATGGTAGTGCTTTCTTTCTCATGCCATTTAGAAAAAACGGTGATTCGTACTGTGATAGCCGTGCTGGGAAAAGGCTGTTCAGCCACGTCTTTTGGCACAGTTATTTTGTACACCTCTGAGCTTTACCCCACAGTTGTCAGGTATGAAAATTAGTTTTATGTTTAACTGCATTTTCGTCAAAACTATATCCAGTGAACAGACACACACAAAAAAAAAGACATCAAAAAAGTTATTTTAAGGACAAACCCTATACAGTATGTATATATATATATATATATATATATATATATATATATATATATATATATATATATATATATATACTGTATAGGGTTTGTCCTTAAAATAACTTTTTTGTATATATAAAATAACTTTTTTATATATATATATATATTAAAGTATATTATAGTTTGTGACTGAACTTATCTTGACTTTTTGGCGCTGGTGTTCGTCTGTGTGCGTGCATGTGTTAAAAACTAAAACAAATGTTTATAAAGATTTTATAAAAAGTGTAAATTAAGGTCTGTTGTAAAGAAAAGCATTTTCATTTGTATCAAATAGTAATTTGCTACCGGCCTGCAGCTAGCTCTCCGCAATTCTCACATGGGCACCCACTGAAGCTAAGCAGGGCTGTGCCTGGTCAGTTCCTTGATTGGAGACCTCATGGAAAAGCTTGGTGGTTGCCGGAAGTAGTGTTAGTGTGGCCAGCAGGGAGCGCTATACTGCTCAGACCCCATCATCCTGGCCAAATTTACCCATGGCCTTTGTCCATCCTGGCCTCCTAACCTTATCATAATTGGCTTCATCACTCTGTCTCCTCTACTCCAATCAGCTGGTGTGTGGTGTGCGGTCTGGCACAATATGGCTGCCGTCGTGTCATCCAGGTGGATGCTGCACACTGGTGGTGGATGAGGAGATTCCCTTAATGTGTAAAAGCGCTTTGAGTGTCCAGAAAGCACTATATAAATGTAACAAATTAATTAATTGTGGATAGTTATGATGAAGTTAAAAATAAAAAATAGGAGGAAAAATACTTTCTGTCATTTTTATGCAAGCATATGGTGAATCATGCCCTGTTTTTGATTTCTTTAATGTATTTGTTCTGTGTTGCTGTTATATGTCAGTTGAATCATTCCAAAGATCATTTGAAAGCGAATCATGACTCATCTTTTAATCTGTCTCTTGTTGGTTTGCACCAGGAATTGAATGTCAGCGTTCACACTTTTTCTCATGAAACACAATAACAGAGCAATCGCACCAGCGTTGCTTTTAGTTTCCCTTCCAAATGTGAACACTGCCTAAATCATTTTTAAATTAAATGAGAAAAAATACAAAGTATCATAAATGAGTATATACTGATTTGTTGTCTACTTAGGCAAAATGGGATGGGCTACACCTCCTTTATTGCCCGTTTCGGAGTGTCTGTGGCTCCTCTGATCCTGCTGTCCAATGATGTATGGAGTTATTTCTCTCAAGTCATCCTGTGTTTTCTGGCACTTTCTGCTGCATTTGTGGCATATCAACTACCAGAAACGAGTGGAAAGTGTCTTCCAGAAACCATAGACGATATTGAAGGAATCAGGTAAGGATATGTTAAAAATAAAAGTATCTAGTTTAATAATAGTTAAGTTGGTCACAATTATTAGCCCTTCTGTATTTTTTTTCTTCTTAAAATATTTTCCAAACCAAGTTCAATAAAGCAAGGATTTTTTAACAGTATTTCCTATCATTTTTGTTCTTTAGAAGAAAGTCTTGTTTTATTTTGGTGACAATAAAAGCAGTTTTGAATTTATTAATAACTGTTTTAAGATCAATAACTTGCCCAATCAACCTAATTGACCTAGTTAAGCCTTTAACACTTTTGCACTTTAAGCTAAATTCTAGCTAAGATCTAGTAAAATAGTATGTACTGTTATCATGGCAAAGATAAAATAAATCAGTTATTAGAAATTAGTTATTAAAACTAATATGTTTAGAAATTTGTTGAAAAAAAAAACTTTCCATTAAACAGAAACTGTGTAAAAAAATATAAAGGGGAGCTAATAATTCTGATTTTAAATGTAATACTTTAGCTTTAAGAGTTACTTGCTGCTTTCAGAATGTTAATTTTGTTGTTTGTAAATCACAGGAAAGACAAGAATGGTTTGCTACTACAAGATCGAAAAATGGAGGAAAAAGATAACATGGAGAAATTGAAAGATAATTTAATTGTGCAGAACACTTGAGTGGGCTTCTTTCAGAATTCAGAACCCTATTTATATTTAAGCATTAAATTAAAAACATTGATGCAAAGCTTGAAGGTAGTATGTTTGTAAGTTTTGTATATCGTTTTGATGTTTCAGTGACAGTCAGAGTTATGTGGACTAATTAATCCACATTTAGGGGGAAGACCTTATGCAAAAGGGCTCAAAGACACACTTAAAAACCAATTGCACTGTAAAACCCAAAAAGTTAAGGTAACTTAAACCATTTGAGGAAACCGATCGCAACAAACCATTTAAGTTCAAAAACTAATTCTAATGAGTAATGTTGGATTTTACAGTGTGGGATTTGTTAAGGCAAAACCAATTTCCAACTAACATTTTATTTGCCTTAATTTCCTACATCTACAGAAATAATTTGAATCTACAGTAGAAATGTGACTGATAAAATCCAAACCAGGTTCTGGCACTTATTTATCAATTTATATATAGAGTATACAGTTTAATCAGAGTTCTTGGTCTGTTCTTCATCTGCTGGAAGATGTGTTATGCAACTGGAAACTTGTTGCTGGATTTTTACTGTTCATTAACCAGCAATCTGGAACACTGCCCCAATGTGTGTGTAAAATGCAGAATAAAAGTGTTAATGTTTATTGAGAAGGATATTAATAAAGTTATTTCTTTCCGGTCTTAGTTTTTCAAGTGCATAACAGTGTAATATTAAAAGACTTATCTCTCAGAAGTTTTTTTATTGAAACACAAATCCTTGCAGAATCTTCCCGCTGGATAAAAGCAATCTGAAACATTTCGGAAGCCAAAAGTACTCAGACCAGCAATCCTAATTGTGTTTTCTACTCATATATTTTAGTCTGTTGGTATTTAGATTACATGTTTTGCTGGATTGTGACATGTACCAATAGTTTGAGTGCCAGTTACTATCATCAGTATGGATTGTACTGTACATTATGTGAACTGCACACTTGGCAAGTCATTCTCTTACAAGCATTAACAGCCAAATCGCAAATCATTCACTGCTTGTCGACATCTGATCATCTGAGGGTATGGACACACGCACAAGCACACACACAATTGTATAGCTATTACTGTGGGAATTTTGATAAAATACTGTTTTTATAGGGTACAAACAGTACAGAACATTTCAATGTGGTCATGTCATTGGCCCATGAATATTTCCTGCTTGTTATCAATCATAACTTAATGTTAAAACAGCTATCATAACATTATGTATCAATATGTGACTCTTTTTGCATTCTCAGAAGCTATGGAAATTAAAAATCTAAAACAAGAAATACATTGGGACCATTGTTTTTCTTTACATTCCTCAAAATGGTCCATTTTACATCGCCTTACCGCAACCATACCCCAAAACACTTACCATTTTTCCAAAATGCTCCATTTGGTCCTCATAATGCATAGAATGCCAAGCACATGTACACACATTAAACAAAGACATACAATCACAGCAGTTTATTAATGACCAAAGTACAACCTGCCTCTGTCTTCTAGTCGTCAACCTTTGACATCCTATAAAACTCACTACATAAACCCAGGGTTTTGTAGAGGAAGGCTGAGGACATTCTGTGCATCAACGAAAACAACATGAAGTTTGAAGATCTAATTACGGAGATCAATGGCTTCGGCAGGTTCCAGAAGATGATTCTTTGCATCAGTTTTGTAGGTCGATTCATCATCCCGTGTCACTTTCTATTAAGCAACTTCATCGCCGCCATCCCGTCTCATCACTGCGACATCAGCTTTCTAGATGCCGATGGGCTCTTTGGAAATCTAACTGAGGAGGAGAGACTGATTGTCAGTGTTCCAACACAGGAAGACGGGAGTCCTGTTTCCTGTCACATGTTCTCTCATCCTCAGTTTCAATTGCTGATAAACTCCTCCAGCAGCTCAGATCTTCCAGTAGTGGAGTGTCAGAATGGATGGCACTTTGATAACAGCACCTTTATCAGCACTCTCGCCACACAGGTAAAGCTTCAGTTACTGTAGGGAGGTGATGCATTATTGGCTAAACCTCCATATATATCGTTAAAAGTTTTTAAATGATTTATAAGTACTATTTAATTATTTTAATGGTGCATTAAATTGACTCACAAGAAACCACAGTATTTGAGTCATATAACTTGGAAATGTAGTAGCTAAGATACTTGTCAACAGAGTTTGATGAGAACTATCAATGTAGAGTGTAACCTGTTTTTCAATAGGTTTTATTCATTCTTACTATGAAAGGTCACTATCTTGGCAGAGAAAAATGATTATGAAATATGAAATTATGCAAGCAAATCTCTGACAGTTAATTATTAGCTAGCAACATGTTGAACTGCAATCAAAGTGTCATTGCTTGTGCAAAATGAAATACAAAAAAAAAAAAAAAAGTGAGAGTTGTCTCTCACTGGCTTATCATCAACCTGAAGTTCTGCTCTTCAAACACAACACTTAAAATACCAAAACAAAAATAAAAATGACCCAAACTCTGTTTAAATGCAAAGTTTAAATTTCATCCAACTATAGATATGTAATAGTTGGTTTGACCTCCCTTTCACGTGCATAAACATCAGTCTGGCTGTTTCCATCTCGAATTAACATGCATTCAAATGCATCTCTTGAGAGTGGCCACTTGAGTTTGTACTTTTGTCGAGTCCTTATTTTCTACATTACTTTTGAGGGACACTCAATAAGTACTATTGAACAAAACCAATGCTGCATGGATTATACATTTACATTTAGTCATTTCAAGAGTCCACAGTAAGCTTATAATTGATTATAAAGTGTTTTTGGCATGCTACCCCGGGAGAGAGCCCTGACCTCATTAGATCCTCGAGCCCAGGGCTTCCTCCCGTTTGCATGGCGAGAGGAAGGTTTGAGCTCAGGTAGATCTTGAGAACTCCCCTGTTATTTATAGCTAAAGACAAATTAGGAATTGCTATGGAGAGATATACTGCTGACTAAGAGCACATCTATTGTGCCAATTTGTATCTCGTATGTCTTTGGATGGTGGGAGGAAACTGGGGGAAAACCAACACGAGCTTGGAAAGAACATGTAAACTCCATACAGAAATGTTGATTGGCCTGGTAAGCACTTGAACTTGAGCACTTGAACTTGAAGCAACAGTGCTAACCACTGGGCTGCCTTACCTCACAATAAAGGAAAAGGGGGAGGAATAGGGGTGAAAGGTGAAGATAACTGTGGTATGTCACTTTGGTTATTTGTAGTGAGTTAGCATTTATCTTATTGGCAAATTATGTATTAGGTAATGCGGGACCAGCCGTGATCAATCATGAGCATGTAAGTTTATAATTAAAGTTTACCTAGCAGACGCTTCTGTCCAAAGCGACTAACAATTAAGGAGGTATTCAGCGATTCTTTTTGAGAGAGAGAAGGAGAGCTTCTTATAGGTGGCTTTGGTATTATTCACCAGGGTTCAGGTGTTCTCTGAAGAGAAGTGTTTTTATGGTTGTCGATTTAAGGATACCAGTGTATCTGCAGTCTGAGTGGAAATGGGAAGATCATTTCTATCATATACATGGGAAAGCAAGTGAATTCCAGCCTTTAAGTCAGGATTGTCCAAACTCTGTCCTGGAGGCCTGGTGTCATGTTGAGTTTAGCTCCAACTTACTTTAACACACCTGCTAGGAAGTTTCTAGTAGAAGACTGATTAGCTGGTTCATGTGTGTTTGATTAGGTTTGAAGCTAAACTCTCCAGGACACTGACCCTACAGGACCGAGTTTGGACACCCCTGCTTTATAGTAATTGAGGGGTGGTAATGAACAAAGGTAAAAAGTGTCACCAATCTATCCAAATCCAATTTTTAGTTGTCTTATTTTGTGAAACTACACCTCATACAGCTATTAAGAAAATTATTTTCCAACTCTCTGTTTCAGTGGGATCTGGTTTGTGATAACAGAGGTCTGAATAAAGCTGTGGCCACAATCTTCTTTGTCGGTGTGATGTTTGGAGCAGCTTTTTTTGGAGGCATGAGTGACAGGTGAATTTTCAAAGAAAACACAACTGTTATAAACATCAAAAATAAAGATTCCATTTAGATCTTTTGTGGTAAAGGATATATGTGGCATAAATAGAATCATTTTGGTTTCCCTAGGAAAAATATCTCTTAAATTACTTATCTGAACTAGTGAAGAACATTTTAATAATCTAAAGAACATTTTTTTTTCTGCTATAAAGAACATTTTGTTGATTGTAAAGCTTCAATGAATGTTAGGCTGTTTAAACTATAGTACAGTTCATTTTAAAATGGTGTTTTACAATAAAAACTCTTCATGTCCATGCCTGATCGCACAGGTACTATACATGGTAGAAACATCTATTTTATGTTTGTATTTACATCAAATGTATTAGCGCATTTGCTCTTCTGCAAAATGTCTATTAGAGCATTTCTTGACAATTGGTGTTTGACAATTTCCAATCCTACAATACCCCAGGGGTACTCAAACTTTTCAGCCCGCGACCCCTAAAATAACAATTCCAGTGACTTACAACCCCCACTATGCTCGGAGGTGGTTATAAACATACAAATATTGCACACAATGGTGCGCACACACCAATAGGAACTATATAAACATAAGCATATTGTCATAACAAAAAAAAGTGTAACAGTCTTACAACCATATCTTTTATTATAATCATTATTCATTTTTTTTTAATTTAATATTAACCTCTCATAATGAGAATAGTGAGACTATTCTTGGTTTAATTTTGGAGACTTGCAGCCACTTGGAGATCATCCTCCTTGTTCAGTTATGGCCTTAATTTCTAAAGTGTATGTGAATGACATAAAGTTTAATATTGTACTGCAAAATCATTCTGCTGTGACTAACGCTAATGCTGTGATGTTAATCTAGCATAATAACCCCAGGGGTCACAAATAAAATACAATAATTGATAAAATATGATAATTCTATTAATTTAATAAAATATATGAGATTTTTGGAAATCACCAAGCAACACCGAATCACATACACCCCCCCCCCCCCATCCCCCCAATGATTGTTTCACGACCCCCACTTTTGGGATGTGCATACTGTATATTGCACCATATACTT